GAGGGGGAAATTAAAACCGTTCCATGCTCCCCTCTATCAGCCCCCAGATGACCTCCTGCTTCACCAAATAATCCTCCGCAAAGCAAATTCTTCCTGGATTATATTTTAATATCTGCAAAGCCTCCGGTTGAAAAGGAAAACAAATGGGAGAGCCACTCACTGGTCTCCTTGGGGAGACAGGAGAGAAATAAACGAACAGCATGGATGGATTAGAGGGACTAGCAGAAGCAAGTATGACCCCACTATAGGCCTGAAGGGAGACAGGGATTAGGCCTGGGATGGGGGACAATCAGGTCTATGTGGACTCAGTAGCGTTAATGATATTAATTAGAAAGAGGACACAAACTAGGACAGGCTGCAGCAGTTTGATTTTGCCCAAATCTACTGGGAAGGGCAGGAATCTTCCCCCGTCCCCTCTGTCCCTTGCTGAGTTAACTGAGTGCAAACTACTTTTATACTTTGCATTGCATTTGCAGCAATGGAAGCAAGCAGAGGACAAAGGAGGAAACCAGGAGGAGCAACTGGGACATTTTAAGGCAGCTGAAAAAGTGGAAAAACAGAGGATTAATCAGGAGTGGTCCCTGCCATATCAGGACAGTTGAAGGGTATGCAACAGGATGCATCGTGCGATGGGAGCTTCCATTGTGCAACAGGACATCTTGCTCCATGCCCCATTGTGCATCATTGCAATTCCCTAGCCTGGCTGTGTATCATGTTAGCAATGTAGTTTCATCATCATTAAGTTATGCATCATAGCCACTGAGGCAGGATTTTGGCCAATTTATTTCTTACCTGACTCTTCATGCGGCTTGAGGTGGTTAAACGTAAGGTTTGTTCAGATAGTGTTTGGGCAACCCTTAGTAGAGCCAACGTGGTGTGGTGGTTTGAACGTTGGACTACGAATCTGGAGATCATGATTCGATTCCCCGCTTGGCCATGGATGTTCACACAGCAGCCAGCTCCGGGAGGTGGATGGCAACTGTGATCACTCATTCCTACCCTTCCTCCTGGAAGACAAAGTTTGGCAGTGTGGAAAACAGATCATGCAACCATGGGGAAAAATGCAATGATGCCAAACTGGTGTGCTTCCATTCTTAAACTAGTGCAATTGTGGTGGGACAACAGGCTTGTGTGATGAAGTCTTGGATTTGTGGGAAGGTCTTCTTCTTGTCCCCTCTTCGGTATGCATCTGAACGTAGCTGTTTGAGATGGAGGCAAGAAGAGCCCTGACACCAAGAGCCCTTGAAAGGGTAGCATTATTATAACATCTGAAGCATGTCCAGAGGAGGGCGACCACAATGGTGAAAGATATGGAAACCATGCCTTATGAGGAGCAGCTTAGGGAGCTGGGTATGTTTAGCCTGGAGAAGAGGCGGTTAAGAGGGGATATGATAGCCCTGTTTAAATATTTGAAGGGATGTCATACTGAAGATGGAGCAAACTTGTTTTCTGCTCCTCCAGAGAATAGGACACGGAGCAATGGGTTCAAGGTACAGAAAAAGAGATTCCATCTCAACATTAGGAAGAACTTCCTGACAG